ACAGAGACATACTGATAGCCAGTACAGTTAACTTGTATGAGAAAAAAAAACCATTTCCTTAGCTTGATTTAACAGACTAACAGAGTTGGAAGGGGCCTTGGAGGTCTCAGGAAACCGTATACCATTTGAGACAAGTGGTTGTTCAATCTCTTAAAAACTTCCCGTGATGGAGCACCCACAACTTCTGAATACAAGCTGTTCCACTGGTTAATTGTTCTCACTGTCAGGAAATGTCTCTTTATTTCTAAGTTGGTTCTCTCCTTGATTAATTTCCATCCATTTTTTCTTGTTCTCCATTCAGTGCTTTAGAAAATAAGTTGTCCCTTTCTTCTTTGTGGCAGCCCCTCAAATATTGGAATACTGATATCAGGTTGAGAGATGCTAAGCTTGAATCTAGTACTGTATCTTGGCATGAAAGCTATGTGTTCTTTACTTGATCTGGAGCTTAGTTCCTATACCTAGAGTTTAACAAAGCATAGCTCTGTGATGGCGAACCTGCGGCACGTGTGACAGAGGTGGCAAGGACAGCCTTCTCTCTGGGCATTTGCTCTGCCGCCGCGTGCTCTTATGGTTTCCAGCGCACCAGCCAGCTGGTCTTCTTAGGCGCCAGAAAACGGACTGAAAATGGCACAAAAAACAGCCAAAACCCAGGCCATTTTCAGGCTATTTTCAGGCCATTTTGAGGCTGTTTTCAGGTCATTTTCAAGCTGTTTTCAGGCCATTTTGGGGGGTATTTTTTGGGTCATAAATGCCCCCAAAAAACATCCAAAATGGGCCAAAATACAGGCATGCACAGGCCAGCCAACTGGTCTTTGGGTTTCCAGCGCTCCGGCGCATGCGCACGCTCACATACACACACATTCCCATTTGGGCACTCGGTATCAAAAAGGTTCGCCATCATAGCTAATGGCATAGCTATTAAAATACTATTCAGGTGATCTAGGTAGTCCACAACTTATGACCACAACTGAGCCCAAAATTTGTTAAGTGAGTTTTGCTTCATTTTATGATTTTTCTTACCACATTTGTTAAGTGATTAATTAACTAATTCTTAAATTAGTTTTTAAATTAACACAGTTACACTGTTAAGTGAATCTGGTTTCCCCGTTGATGTTGCCTGTCAGAAGATCACACAAGGGGATCACTTCACCCTGGGACACTGCAACTGTCATAAATGTGAGTCAGTTGTCAAAACCTGTATCCAAATCATGTGACCACGGGGATGCAACCATTGTAAGTGTGAAAAATGGTCATAAGTCACTTTTCCCAGTGCCTTTGTGACTTCAAACATTACTAAATGAACTGTTGTAAATGAAGGAGTACTTGTACCTTAGTGAGAGTCTTGGCTTCTAAAGAAAGTCAGCTTGTGCCACAATGCTTCCTGGGTCCTCTTCCAGGTGTTGGGAGTTTTCCATCATTGAAAGAATGATGATCTTCCCTGGATTTTCAGCCTATGTCAGTTGGGTAGGGCAAAGATGCAAGTTAGTAACCATGTTACTAACCTTGAACAACTGCAGTGATTTGCTTAACAACTGCGGCAAGAAATGTCATAAAATGGAGCAAAACTCACTTAATAAGTCTCTTGCTTAGCCACAGAAATTGTGGGCTCTGTTGAGGTGGTAAGTTGAGGATAACCTATATTCGTGCAAGCTGTCTATTTAGAGTAAAAATTGTGTATTCAGGAATATTTTGCAGTGCATCCTGACTCTCCCGCTTTAGAATGATGCTGGAAGTTAGTTTGAAGGAAGCCAACACATAACTTTTTTTTCCACTCATAGTCAGTTTATTTCTCACTGGAAAGTTTTACGCATTCCCAAACATGGCAACTAGATTCTTGTAAAGACTGCCTTTGGTACCTGTCAGTTCAGACACCATTCCATTTTTAAAAAAGAAACATTTTAAATACAATTAATTAGAAGGGTTGTCAAATAACTTTCAAAGGACATGTTGGTTTTCATGGATAAAAGTGGCTCTGGAATTGATAATGAATTCAGATCCAAAGCAGTAGCTCATTTTTATCTGAAACTAAAATATATTTAAGAAGAGGCTATTTAATATGAATTTNTCCATACTTTTTGTACTAATGGTGTTCCTGGGTGCTGTTTTCTTTTCTTCTCTTTTGTATCATCCCATGGTCCAAGTGTCAAAGAAAGTCTTGTTTATAACTGGAAAGTAAAAGAAAGGAAGGAAAGAAGGATGGAACAGAAAAGAAATACTGCATCTGTGTTTTGTGCTCTGTATCTGTGTTGTTATGTCTACACAGGTGAAACATTTGTTTAAAAAGGCTAGCTGGAAAGATGCCCTGGGGGGGGGGGGGGAGGAACTGTGTCTTCCTGAATGAAGGAGCTTTAAAATAGAAGAAAACAGACATTTTCTTAGTATAAAATCTTTAGTGTCTCTGTTGCTATTGGTCAGGTAACCTTGTAGAGCAGTGGTTCTCAACCTATGGAAGGGGATGACACGATGTTATCATTGGGGTGTGTGAAGGCTTGAAGAAATGTTATGATTTAAATCTTGAATTAAATCTGGGGGGGGTGGCCACAAAAGAGATTTAAAGAGGATCGATAATGGAAGAAAAGGTTGAGAACTATTGTTGTAGTAGAGTGCTATCATGGAATATCCTGCCTTTCCCCCCTGCAGTTGCATAATATTGCCTACAGAATAGTGTGATAGGTATGTAAGTAGTCATATCCTTTTTACTTGTTGCATACTTATTTTGAAACAAGTTGTGGGAAGCTGTAATTGATCCACCCAGCTTAAAAATTTTGTGTACTATAATAAACCAAAAATATATGTTAACAGTTTTGAGAAATTTGATATAGATCACTTTTTGGGTGCTAATATTAGAACTGGCATAATTTTAAATTGATATGATTTCATATATTTGTGCAAACAAAGATTTGGCATAGTGTTTTATTTTATTTTTTGCTGAGTTTTATATGGTTATTCACTTGCCATGTGACTCCAAAAAGCTTTCCCCCCAGTTGTACCCACAATCGGTTAAATTAAAACCAGCCTTAAATTGTCATGGTGACAGAAAGTAAATTTATTCTAATATAAATGAGCTGAAACTTGCAGGATATGGAGCAATTCATAGTAGTTCTGCGAATGTAGGCATTACTTTTAAAAATGTGGAGAAAGATGTACCCTCATTTGGCTTTAAGAGGGTACTATTAAGTAATAGTGGTAGAAATGAAGCATCTAAACCGCTGAAAGAAAAGTCAACAGGAAATATCTTGTTATTTTGGGAAAGTACAAGAAAAGAAGGGAATATATAATAGATTCAAAACTAACAAAAAGTTGACATGTTGATAATATTTGATATTTTTGATATGTGCAAAGCTTCAGTTTGTTCAATTTGTGTATTACAAATTATTTTAAGAGGCATAGCACCTTCTGGGTTAGCTTGCTAGAATGGTCGGGATACAGATAGACCTCGATTAACAATCATTCATTTAGTGCCCATTCAAATTTACAACAGCACTGAAAAAAGTGACTTATGGCCATTTTTCACACTTACGACTTTGCAGCATCGCTGTGGTCACGTGATCAAAATTAGGAAGCTTGGCAACTGGTTCATATTTATGATGGTTACAGAGCTCTGGGGTCATGTGATCACCTTTTGTGATCTTCTGACAAAGTCAATGGAGAAGCTGGATCTACTTAACAACTGTGTTAGTAACCTAGCAACTGCAGTGATTTACTTAAGAACTGTGGCCAGGAAGGTCTTAAAATGGGGCAAAACTAACTTAACAACAGAAATTTTGGTCCCTGTTGGGGTCGTAAGTC